CAGATTTACATCTGTTATAACTATTATGTTAGTGAGAAAATAACACAGTAGAAGGAGAAATTTTACCCATGGAACAAACATTTTTAAAAACAGGACAGTAGAAGGAGAAATTTTACCCATGGAACAAACATTTTTAAAAACAGGATAATAACACTAAATAATCTACTGATGAGAAAATTATATATATATACATACAGACAAAAGGATGACACTGAAGGGAAAAGTACTTAATCTCCCAACTCAATAACAAATGACAGAGTAAATTTAATGTAACTCTGACTTCATTACATGATTTAACCATGAAATCTGGATCCAGAATTTGCATACTACAAATTTGCAGTTTCTATTTTAATTTTGTTTTTTCTTCTGTATTTAGTACAGGGCCTATAGGGTCTACAGAGTCTCACTCTGTAGATCGGACTCTTAGTGATCCTGTTTTTCACCCTCCTAAGTGCTGGGATTACAGGAGCGCGTGCCACCACTCCTCTCAAATGTCCTCTCAGTATACCCCACAGGCGGGGCTGGCACAGCATGCCAGGAACTGAACCCCAGCTGCTGAGCTCTGCCTAAGTAGGTGCTTTAGTGCACTGAGCTATCAGGCCAGCCCTTCTATTTTCTTAAAAACCTACATAAAGGGGCCAGGGAGATGGCTCAGTAGAATAAGTGCTTCCCTGGCAAGCGCAAGGGCCTGAGTTCAATCCCAGCGGTTCTGCCAAAAATATAAAATAAAAAATAAAACCTAAATTGTAAAGGTTTACAAGATATCTTCCAAAACACAATGGACACAGGAAGCAGAAAAAAGACAGCAAGCCAGATATGGTGGTGCATGCATGTAATCCAGCACTCAGGAGGCTGAAGGTAGACTGACACAAATTCCAGCTAGCTAGGTTCAAGGCCAGTCTGAACTATAAGGTGAGACTCTGTCTCAAAAAAACAAACTAAACCAAACCAAATCAAAGGGGGAAAAAAAAAAAGATACGGAGGGAGAATCAGGTCATCGTTAAGACAGGAATATAAGTACACTGTAAAAAAACTCCAAAACTGAAAAGTGAGAATTTAGGATTCAAGAATTACTAACTCTAATCCTAAATAATTATCACCACTCCATCAGCGCCTTCCTATTAGAGGTTAACACCTATCCACACAGTGAAATACATTTTATAAAAATGCTAATTCATAAAATGCTGATTAGGTTTTGACTTTTCAAGTGTTTCATTTTGGAGAAATACTACTACACACAAAAATAGTAACACGGTTTGTTAATATAATAAGAGTCAATGTATATCTTAAAAGCTACTAAAAATCCACTATATTCAATTTTGGTCTTGCCATTAGCTCTACTATTCACTTGTATTAGATGATACTGGAAAAATGTGTAAGACTGTTAAGAGGACTATTTGTTTTATTTTTTGTGGAACCAGGGATGGAACTCAGGCCCTCTGTTCCACTGAGCCATCTCCCCGGCCCAAGAGGACTATTTGGAAAACCATATTATGTGTGTATGTATTCATCCGAACCTTTAGAATAAACAAGATTATGAACTACCAACATAAAAATACGCTTCACTTCTTCAAAAATATGCTATCTACGTTCCTGGAGACAACAAACCTTTTACTATCATTAAACATAAAGTACACTAAGTACTTTAGGTATCATTATTAAAAGTCAGAAAACCATCAGGATCACAGTGCTTACATCACTAAGATATGTACCTCAGAACTGCTTTCCATCCTGAAAGCCAAGCTAGAATGGTAAATTATGTAAAATGTGCTGGAGCACCTAAATTAAAACCAATACAACTGCAAAAATAAAAAATATTTTTTACCATAACCGGAGGTGTAATTAGGGCCCCGACGACCTCTGCCTCTTCCACTATAAGACCTAGAACCTTGTACAGAAGAGACGGTACTTTCATCAGTGGCATATCCTTTCTCTTTTTCAGGCCCTCTGGTGGAAGAAGGTCTGAAACCCATACCAATCTGTCGTAGCTGTTCATCAATTTGCAGGCGTTCCATTCTTAGTTGTTCCACTTCCTATAAACCAAACAAAAGAAGGGTGAATCTTTTTTCATGTGCTTTTGTCTTCTTAAAACCTACAACTGAAATTGTACTCCCTACCAAAGGGAAAAAGTCCATCACCTTAGATACTTACTTGGTACAGCAACACTGTGTTCCTAATAAACACAATTTATAAAGTTATTTGCTGACTTAATTCAACAAACATCTATAGAAGGCCTTAGTATATGCCAACCACACTGCTAAAAGCATACAATGTAAAAGGAGATATGGACTCTCCTGCACAGACACATTTAACATATAGTATTAACTCATTAAGTTGCTACTAATTATATAGTGTTATCAGATTTTTCCCTAGAAATGCTAACGTTCTGTTAAAGAAAGTACAAGTACTGCTGGGGAGAAAGCTTAGTGGCATAAGCCCCTGGCTGGCAAGTGCCAAGTCCTGAGCTTGACAGCTGCTGATACTCCCCCCATCACTAAAGTTCAGATATTATCTATGAAAGGTACTATTAATACTTTTCTCATTAAAGCAGTGAAAGCTGAGTTGGGACAAGACTTCATTCAGAAACTGAGTCATATTACAATATCTAAAAGTTCTTGACTAAAAGTAAACAAAGAGTTCTAGAAGCTAAGTTTGGCACGCCAGTCTGAAATGAAACTAGTAAATGACGATGAAATTCAAAGAAAAAAGGTCATCAGGGTTCTTTCAACACATTATTCAGCAGTGATGATATACAATTAGATGGAAACCATACTATTGAGAAGCAGACAGCACATGGTGATACTATATTCTAAACCGGAAAACAAAAGCAAGAATAGCAAATAAGAATTATAATGTTCTGGTGGCACAAGCCTGTAACCCTAGTGCTTAGGAGGCTGAAAACAGAAGGATCACTATGAGTCCAATCTGTGTAGTGAGAGACCCTGTATTAAATACATTAAAAAAAAGACAAAAACAATTATAAGGTTTACTATTTATAAGGGGTTACTTTTTCTAAAATTTCCTTGCTCTTTATTGTTACTCAAAATAATTAATTACCAAGCAAAAGCTGAGGATGTAGCTCAGCAGTCATGTGCTTGCTTACACACACATCCTAGATTCAATCCCAACCAACACCTAGGGACATATAAAGAACTTAATGGCATTTTAGAGGATAGAGTAGCTGATTCAAATATAAATACACCAAGGATATAAAAGTTACCAAGAAAACCTAAAAAGGATACTCCTGGTCTGTGGATCCTTTTTGCACATAGAGGATGAAAGTAAAAGTATAAGAAATTATAGAACATACAAGTATCCAAGTGATGACACTCAAATTCAATGATCACTAAAGTGACCATTTCTTAATAAGAAATTTAAAAGGTCAGAATGGGCACGCATATACTATAAAGCCATTTTATTATGGTAAAGCATATTTATTCACTTTGTCTTATAACAAAAACTGAGCAAACTGAAACTAAAAGACAGCCAGATACTTGAAAGTTACCAACAAATATGAAATGTTTGGGCCAAGGAGATAGCTCAGTAGAATAAATGCTTGCCTGGCAAGTGCAGGGTCCTGAGTTCAATCTCAGACACAGCAAAAAAAAAAAAAAAAGTTTAATGTGTGAACCACTTAATTTGTTTGCAGTGAATAATTAACAGTTATATAGTATAAATGCAGCAAAGAAGATATAAAAATTATAAATTGTATACAAACCTTTAGATAAGCAATATGATATTCTAAAAGAACTTGTACATTTCCAATGCTTTCTTTAGTGCCAACAAATACAAATGGAACCATCCCCTGTAAGAAAACACAATGCCCTCAATATTTAATATTTTAACATAATTCTAGACAGATAAGCATTATAGAATTTGGAAAACATTTTCGTCTTGCTGTATGATTCAGGTTGCTCCTGAACTAACTATACAGCCCAGTCTGGCCTCCAACTTGCAGCAATCCTCTGGCCTCAGCCTCCCAAAGAGCTGGGATTACAGGTATGTGCTACCACACCCAGCTACAGAAGTACAGAGCAAATTACATCTACTAATCAAGATGTGTGTGTGTGTATGTGTATGATTGAAATACTCAGATTTCCAGTAAGCTGTTCACATTTGTGAAATGTGTCAAAAAGTTCAGTATTTGGTAAGTATCTGGCCTAAACATCTGTACATCTCTTAATCTTTCTCTGAATCTCTCTCTGGAGACAGGGTCTTCCTGTGTAGTTCTGACTAACCCTGAAATCACTATGTAGTTCAGGGTGGCCTTGAGCTCACTTGGTCATCCCACGTTAGCCTCCTGAATGCTGGGATTATAGGCCTGCAACACCACACAGCCTCTCTTTTATAATACTGATTCTATGTAACAGTTAGCATGCCCTACCCCAAGCAATATGTTATTGTTTGTAACTGAAGCCAATTTTAAGTGTAGTGCTTTCTAGAACATAATTTCAGAGAAAGTCTCTGGCTTATATTCAGGCATACAAAGCTTCAAACAAGAATAGAGTTGACCATTCTACCCACAAATGTGTGTGATCCTCCTTAGAGGTAATCTATAAAAACAACAGAATTTTGGACCAAGTATCAACATGTAAGAAGAGAGACATGATTAGTTCTTTCAGACTAAAAAAAGGTCAATGACAGTATCATCAAATATTCTTTTTTTTTTTTTTTTTTTTTGGTGGAACTGGAGATTGAATTCAGGCCCTTGTGCCTGCCAAGGAAGCACTTATTTTACTGAGCCATCTCCCCGGCCCATCATCAAAGATTCTTAATACATTTGCTGAGTATCAAATTTCTATACCTTTTAAAAGAATAAATTGTTCTAAGACAATCAAACTGAAAGTTCTGTATCAAGAACTAGCTTTTTAAAAAAGTACTGACAAACCAATTAAGAACCCAATGTCCACAATTAAAAGATAACTTCTTTATTAAGTGCATTATACAATACTACAAAAACCACATGCACCCTACTACACAAGAGTTAAGCACTCCAAAAGACGTTAACTATTGGGCCAGCCAGATAGCTCAGGAGACTAAAGTGCCTGCTGAGACAGAGTGCAGGGGCTGGTTCCCCAGTGTGCTGCGCAGGCCCAGCCCCAAGAGCATGCTAAGAGGGCGATGGAGACTGGGCGTTGTGGCACACCTGTAATCCCAGTGCTTGGGAGGCTGAAAACAGGAAGATCACTACGAGTCTGATCTACGTAGTGAGACCCTGTACTAAATACATTTAAAAAAAGAGTATTTCCAACATGATTTCCCTAGGCAAATACATTGATTTTTAAACTTAAATCTTCTATTTTTCAAGATATGTTTGCTAAGTATAAAATTCAAAGAGGACAGATCTTTTCTTTCAGTCCTTTAATTAATCTAGTTTCTTACACACTTGGTCTTTTTTTTTTTTCTTTCTAATGTGGAATAAGGTGCTATTTTGTTCTTCCATAGCTAATATTTTTTATGTTTATGCTTTAATGATTTTTTTTTCTTTACAATAAATTTTGGACAATTTCAAAAAAACTTACGTCTTCTCTAGGTAGCTTATTTTCATTGTCTCCTTCAATTCTCACCCGAACAACACCTGATTTGTCCACTATTTCTTGAATAACTTTGCCATTTTTTCCAATCACTTTACCTTTAGTAAGAGAAAAAAATATGTAAGTTAAAAAGCAATTCTATCATGTGAACACTCTCAAATTATGATTTTCGATGAAATTATAATCAAGTAAAATTCTACCTTTTTACTTTCAACTAAAATCACCTACAGATTACCAAGGCATTTTCATCCTTAATCTGAAACTTTTCTTTCAGTATGCCTGTTACTCAGGTTGACAATGTTACTCATGCATTAGAAATTCTTGATATGTATTAATTTAAAACATCCTAATTTCACATTTGCTAAATATCAATCCCAACCTATTCATTTCAAAACATATTTTTAAGTGTCCTATCTGACTCATGTTTGTAAAGTATCAATTCTAATGCATTTTATAACACAAAAGGAGAGAAAACTAAATTCAGCATTAACCTTATCCATTTGTTCACTTACATATTATATTCACAGAAATAAATTATCAATCTGGTCTTCATTTTAAAGTCTGTACTTATCCAAAAGATACACAACTTAATTTTAGATTAACACCCTAAGATATGTTTGCATTTAACAAAGATTGTACGTTGCACCAGTAAGTATGCGTGTTGTATGTACTTACAACACGCATGATATGCTCGATGTCTTGCTAGGTATGAAATATTGTAAAATAACACAATATAAATTATTTACCTTCTCCATACTCAAATTGTAAGTCTGCCGAGTAGCAGTTATTAAACATTCAACAATCAAAAGAGAAGCTCAAAGAGGAACAAGACTCTCAAAGAAATGTACTCTCTCTCTAAAGTTCAACAACATAAGATAACGAAGCAACACTGGGGACTGTCACCTAGCCAAAGTCAATATTCTAGTAATCTTCACCATATGGAACAAATGCATCCCTTTGACCAGGGATGGCAAGCCTTCTGCAGCTTTCAATGAGATGAACAGCCCAGGACAGCACATGTGCCAGAAGTTCACTACCATTGTCTGAAACAGTAACCCCTTTATGAAGTCTGCATCCCCAATAAATTTTACTAAATCGTTTTCACAAAAGCATAAACTAATTTGGTTGAAAGGAGTTTAAAATGCAAGTTACATGCTTTTGTACGCTTGTAAGAAAAACTTTCACTAATCAATGAATAAAAGACCAATGAGAATAAAAACCTGGTCGATATATAAAACACACTATGATGGGATTTCCTCACTCTTTTATTCTCTCTCAAATCTCCTTCCCTATTAATAACCCTAAACTTAAAAGCAGAAACAGGTTTAAAAAAAAAACAGGACAGGGAAATCACATGATGTGTCTCTTCTCTGAGAAGCCCTAGCAGAACAAAAGCAACAGTGATTGTTAACACAGTGATGCTCAAAAGCAGCAACTCCATTCTTGCCCCTGCTAAAAATAAGCAAATGTCTTTTCGAAAAAGGAAAAACCAGGTCGACAGAGCACAATCCTTTCCTCCAGAATCTGTCACTTCCTTTATGTGAACTATCCCAGCAGCAAGTAAACTTCCATCACCCTTCTGGGGTCCTGGGCGGGGACCTACCTGCAGGTTTTATTTAGGACCACCAGAGACCGTCAATATTTTAACTGATCATTTCCACAGTTTAAATTCCAGAGCACATTGACAAACTGAAGCAGACCTGTAGTATAAATTGAGCACTGAGTATAAATGCTGAAGGGACAGAGTAAAGAGGTGATTAAGGGTGTTTTCTAAGAGATGAAAGGTGCTGATCCATTTTCACATCAATGTTCACAGAACATAGTTTCCTCTGACTTGGTTAAGACAGCAGTGGTCACACTCCACAACTTAACTAAGTAATGGAAATCCTCTCTGAAACTTACCCACTAAGTGGTTCTCACTCCCTTTATTCCTCTTTTTCTCTTTCACTTGGACTAAGAACATACCATTTTTCAAAAGACTGGTTCATCCATAAAACATTTTAGAAGAAAACATAGTATTATTATATATGAAAACCAATACAAATTCCTATGCTTCCAAAGTGTGCTGTCTTATCAATATGCTAGTAACACGTATTTCCTAAAGAGCACACAATCCCTATCACCAAAAGAAACCAAGAGCCAAGATACAAGAGAAAACACACACAACATGGACTCACATCATTGTACTAAGAATCAGAGAAAATATGCGTAAGTTCCTTACTCCTGAAGTATCAAGGATTTTTACTTATAATTAACAATACTATGAACTCTTAGATCAAAGCTATTTTCTTAGAATTATCAGCTTCAAGTCTTATTCCTACCCATAACCCACCATCAAATCATTTTTAGCGAGGGAACCTTACTACAAACTAAAATTATGTTCTCTATGGTCTACACAGCTATCTACATTAATACCTGATAGGTGTCAATACTTAGGTATGATTTAAATAAACAAAATTTTTTTGAAACAAGCTCTTCCTAAAACAAGCTCTTTCCCAGAGGTGATCTGACATTTTGTATCTTAATATTAAAATTATGCAAAATCCTTCAAGTTCTTATTCAATCTTAACATCTCAACTTATCTCTCCAACAGACCAGTCTACGGCCAACAATGATGTACCAAGAACTATTGTGGTAGAACTTATATAACTGGGAGAGGGGGCCGGGGAGATGGCTCAGTAGAATAAGTGCTTCCCTGACAAGTGCAAGGGCCCGAGTTCAATCCCCAGTTCCACAAAAAAAAAAAAAAAAAAAAAATTAGGATAACTGGGAGAATGCCACACCTATGCAAGTGTCTAGGCAGAACACCTATCCAAGTAAAAACCTCTTTACTAAATGCTTCACCTACCAACAGATGAATTCAAAGAAACATATTCTTGCATGATAAATCTTTTTTTTTCCACCCAAGCATACTACTTTTAAGTGGCCAAGTCAAACATTTAAGAATGAGGTATTCTATAGTTTATACTTGTTTTACTGTATGTGACTAATGAAACACCTACTGCTAGGAAATTACTTCCTAAAGGGTAAGCTGGCCTCCTTACACAAATGAAACCCAAAGGGCTGAAATGAAACAAAGGGAAACAAGAATATATACCGCTCCTAAGAAAACTTTACAATGTTAATGCTTTTTATATTATTTAGGATAATCATTAAAGACTAAAAACATAAAGTCTTTGCATTTGCCTCAAATACCACTTAAAAACACATAGCTATGGTTCAAGAAACAGAGGCACAATAATAACAGTGCCACCAAATTAACTCACCCCAACCTAAATGCTTATTTCATCACAGCTTCAACTCAAATATTACTTTACTTATAATCCATGAGTACAATGGTTTTCATTAATTAACAATACGTGACACCTCCCCTCCTGTATCAACACCATCATTTTTTTCTCCTACCCATGACATCTTACCTTATTCTATGCCTTTGCAAAAAGCAATTATTATTTATTCAGGGCCTACTGTGTAGAAGCTTATTACCCTACTGTTAGTCCAGTTACTTTTTCTTCTGCACTAAACAAAAGGAAAAAATTATCACAAACACCTCATCAAGAAGTACTGGGGACACAAAATGATTTAAAAAAAAAAAAAAAAAGGAAAGAAAAGACAATAAAAAGAGGAAAATAGAAAAAAAAAGTTCTAAGGAGAAGATACAAGAAAAACTGAAATGACAAGAATATAATAGGTCAGCCTGTATAGAAGAAAACACCATTTCTTTTTAACAAGACAACAATGTACAAGTCACATAAAATGTTATCACTAAAAAGACAGTAAGTTATTTGCAACCTAAATTTCTTTTCTACATTAAAAGTAGAACAAAGTAACAGCCTATAAAACTCACTTTCAATTAACTGACTACAAGTAACTAAGTAATGTTTAACTTAATATTTAGTAAAGAATTACCTACCAACAAGATTCCTAGGAACCTGAATAAAATCCTCCACAAATTCCAAGAAACCTCTAGCCTTTTTTACAGCATCAGCACTCTATATGGAAAAAAATAAACAAAGTTCTGTTATAATCCTAGAGCAACCCATAATCCAAAAAGAAAAATATGGAGGGGAAAAGAAATGCAATACATTGGAAGATTCTTCTCAATCTCCTGGACTGACACCTCAGTTAGCTAATTCACAATATTTTGAGGGGCGAAAAGGCCAGGCAGAACTACTAAAACCAAAAAATGTTAAACATCATTAAAGTTTTTTATAAACTGAGAGAATAATGGTTCAAATTACTTATATAGCTGGGTAGTCAAACTATAACCCAATCTTAAATATGTTGTACTGGTCCATACCCTCTATAATATATTTCTCCAGGTAACTGCTAAATTACTCAAATATTCTAAACTGTGTTGTTCTTTAACTTAATTTTCAACATTGGAAATGATCTTAAAAATTGTTTTTGCAGAATCTAGCTTTAGCTCAGTAGAATAAGTGCTTCCCTGCCAAGCACAAGGGCCTGAGTTCAATCCCCGGTTCCACCAAAAAAGAAAAAGAACTAGCTTTAAAAATGTACCCTACTGATAACGCATTATCTGTTCTAAATACAATTTTATACATCTGAGTAATAGTTACTTTCTCTTAAAGAGTTTAATGTCTAATAAGTAAAGCTCAGATTCACTATGTGCTTACTACATCACATGCAATATCCAACAAGAACCTTAAATAAAAGACATACTCAGGACTAAGGGTATAGCTCAGTAGTAAGAGTTTGCTGAGCATGGTACAAGGAGGGCCCTGAGTTCAATTCCTAGCATACAAAAAAGGTGGATTTAATATTTATAACCTAAGTCAAACATCGTCATCTTATAACGTGGACATTACACCAGGAAGTTTACATGACTTGCCCAAGCCCACTCTAATTGGTAGACAGGACTCTAACTCAAGCAGTATAGTCTATCCCCCTTGAGAACTACGAACATGAAGTCTCTATTCAGAACTACTCTAGTAATCAAATTGAGTCATTAAGATCTAGAATTCCATAATCTAAAAACAAGTAAGAAATTAACTCTACCATGAAGAATAGTCTCAAGGCAAAGTCTGAAGAACTGCACATATTGTTTCATTTACTCACTTAATATCCTTCCAAATCTGACAATCAATGGCAAAGTATAATTCAAATTCTAATTACATAAAAACTTCTATTGTATACTATTTATTACTGCCAATGCCTGACACACAGTAAGCATTCAAAAAGCATTTGAAGCCACAGAGATTGTTTGGCAACCTTAGCACCTGCCTGACAAGTGCAAGGTCCTGAATTAGAACCCTGGCACCCAAAAGAGGGGAAAAAAAAAAACAAAAAAAAAAACACATTTGAATAGCTAAGTTGGTAATGTAGCATAGTGCTAAAGGACCTGCCCTAGCACAAACATGGTCCTGCATCTGACCCTCCAATACTGTAAAAAGTGACAAAGTGTGTGTAAGAAACATAGAACAGGAAAAGGAAGAAAAAAAAAAAAAAAAAAAAACTAAAAAAGGCTAGTGATAGGCTGTTAAGAAAAACTTCTAAAATGTTAAATTAACCAGTAAACCTGAGTCAAATAAAATCAACTTTAGTCCACTTTTATTTTGGTTGTTTTGAGAGAGGGTCTCACTGTAATCCAGGTCAGCCTTGAGTATACTATGTAGCCAAGGGTGGCCCTGAACTGTGATCCGCCTTCCTCAGCCTTCCAAGGTCACTTTTCAAGTAAACATCACCAATGGATAAAGATGATGTGGTTCTTTTATAGAGTACTACTCTGTTATAAAGGATAAGCTTGAGATATTTCTAGCTATAAATGGATGCACCCTGAAACCATACTTAGATGAAATAAATTGGACACACATGTGTAAATACTCCACTGTTTCTCTGGTTTAAATAAAGCACAAAATGTGTAAGATACTGTGAAATAGGAAAAAAATGTTTCTATGGAGAAGGGAAAAGGCAGGGGAGAGAGTTTTTTAACTGAGAAAAGGAGGGAAAAACAGAAACAAAGCTTTAGTAAATGGATAGGGGAGGAGGGGTTGAAGGGAGGCTAGGGGAAGGGTGGAGGAGCAAGTTTACCATGTATTGGTACAAATGATATTGAGTACGATCTTGATGTGCATCTAAAATGTACCAAAACAATCCGATTCAAGAGGAAAAGACAATACATAACCAGGCTAATTTATTAAACAAAGAGGTTCTACTGACAAATGAAATTCCAGATAAAACAGAATGAAAAAATAACTTGTCACTACTGTATAGTAATCAGCCAAAGTAGCAACTTACCTCTCCATAGATTCTAAAAGTTCCAGTATCTTCATCTAGCTCAATAGCGGTAACTCCAGGAACCTTCCTAGCTTGTTGTATATTACTACCATGTGTTCCTATTGCCAAGCCCATTAAGTCTTCTCTCACAACAAATTCTTCATGAAAAGCAGCTGCAAGTTGTTTTGTGCACTAGTAAAAGAGACATATTAGAACATATTATGAAATGAAAATAATGTTTGTATAACCGTGTTCATAGCAGCATAATATTCACAATAGTCAAGATGGAGAAACCAAGTGCCAACCCATCGATGAGATATGCAATAGTTATCATTCAGCCTTAGAAAGGAAGCAAATTCTGACACATTACAACACAGATGAACTCAGAAAATTATCCTATATGAAATACGTTTTCTAAAAAATTACTAATATGTTAAGATTCCTCTTGCCATAATAAACTAGCTACAGTAATCAAAGGTAGAAAAAAAGCAGCACATGATCTTGGGGCTAAAAGCAGAAAATTATTGAAAGCTGTCTTTTAAACAAGCCAGGTTCAGTTTTAAAATATGTGAAGTTCTGGAGATTAATAATGTAACAACAGTACTCAACTCTTCATTTAAAAAGTTAAGATGGTGCAGGGCAGAGGATTACTGGGAGTTCTAGACCAGACTAGAGTACTACAAAATGAGCTCAGGGCCAGCCAGGGCTGCACAGCAAGACCCTATCTCAAAGACAAAAAATCCTCAAATAATGTTAAAAACTTTTAAATATAAATTCTGCAATTCTTGTGACACTTGTGTCAAAATGTATTTACATACCACGTTTGGAATTTTTAAATTAAATGGGAATATTCATAAATTTATTTCAAAGATAAACATATCTCTATTCTCTTAAGCAAAATTGTGTATACAGCCTTATCTTTTCTGGGAAGTATGAGAGTAAGGGAATGTACAAGTATCCTAATAGAGCAGAAATAAATAGGAGAAAACAGAAAAACTGAAGACAGGACAGAGAGCAATGAACGATAGGCTTTAAGAGTTGTTACAATGGGGGCCAGGGAGATGGCTCAGTGGAAAAAG